TCAATTTTCTCTGTCTGTATCATTTTCAGCTATACATGGTGTAATTATATCAATTGTATAACCCATCGAAGCATCAACCACTATAATATAATTACTTGCAGAGCTTGCAATATTATAGCGGTTAAAAGATGTGAAGATTTTTTTTCTTCCAATATTGTATTAAAATACAACGAAGACAAACATGTTGCAACAGTTGATTGAAACCCTTGTAAATAGTTTGACGTCAATAATAATGCTTTGAGGTACTTTATTTTGTAACTGAGCGATTATCTTGATGAAGCAATGAAGCCACAAATCATCATTATATGTTATATATGGAAACTATACGTGTATTAAAGGGTACATTGAACTAAGCGCTATGTACGTGACGTTTGTACACAGATTATCGAAACCATAGAAATAGATAAAGTTAAGTTTAGCATAAAGAAAGTTATTTTGGAAAATTATAGAAAACTAAGCACTTTTTTCCAAAAAAAACCTCTTACTTCTATTTACGGGTTCATCCTTATGTTCCTGCCCGCACTCTCCGATCTCAGCAACAAAGTCTCCTACAAGTCCCACGCACCCATACTCAATTCTATGGCGAAAGATCCCTCAGCTACTATGGACCCACTCTATGGAACAACCTCCCCCTCAATATTCGTAACGCCCCGACAGTCGACTCATTCAAATCACTTCTGAAAACATTTATGTTCACCCAATAGTCTGTAATTATATATATGCTAGTTTATGTTAAATAATGTTATTTCCTTACAATAAAAGATCGTAATTATTTAACTATTATAATTGTGTTCATAAGTTTATATCATTTATATTATATCTTATTTTGTCATCATTGTATACGATATGTATTTCTGTTAATTCATGTATAATTAAATCTTTAGATCAATCATGTAATTTATTGTATATTTGATTGTTGTAAAGCGCATAGAGAATTTATCATTATGCGCTATATAAAAATTACTTTATTATTATTATTATTAAAACGGATTGGGACGGCATGCAGTGGCACAGATGTAATACATGTACTTCCGTGTTCTTAAAACCGATGGTTCCTGGTTCAACCCCAATCAGTATGTGTATGTCCTTGATTAAATTTGTTCTAATCTGGTTGCCTAAAATTTGAAATAGTGATCGAGAAAAAAAAATCATATATGTAATTGAAACTTATGTTTTGTAAAACACAAAAATATTCATGAACATTTACCAAGTGAATGGAGTTTACTAAAAAATTACAAACACAAAGTAGATTGTATGTAATAGATTAATCACGATTTAAATCTCCCCACCCAATAGAGAGAATTACCCAGATTTTTGAGGTTATGTGCTCCCATTCGAAGCTGAAGATGATCTAAATCCCTCAATCCTTTCCCATGCCGGCATCCTACATCTGTCATGTGGTATAGAAGTATTGTAAGACGCATAGACTAACGATCGGCAAGCTCATATGAAGAACCTAGCGTGTTGAATATACCACTATCCCTGAGGCATGCGATCGAACTTTCTCCATTGATTCCTCAACAAGTAGGTACGGAGAAAGGCCTAATACCATGCATGCACGAGCTAGCGTCTAGCTGCAGTATAAATTTGGAAGCTTTTTTTCCACGCTTATTTATTGCTACCGGGGCCATGCCATGTGTATTCATGAGATATGTAATTATGTGAAGGACATGCTTCGATTAGGGAATGTTAACCAGAAAAGATTGTTGTTTCTTTGTCATGAATAAGGCAAAATCGATCTGTATAATGTTCAGGATGTAATGAATAACAGATATGTAACGATCACAATATATTGGCCAGTATCTGTGTAGGAGGTGGCAAACAAAGATCAGATTACTTGCCTATACAATGTTTATGAACCATATAATGTAGAGAGTTTCATGCTGAAAGGTGTAAATAATTATCCAAGAAAATGTATAAATAGTTTTAATATGTGGATAAACTGATGTTCGATCATTCCCTGCAGGTCTCTATCTTCTCTTGTGTTATTTTTTACCTAGAAAAAAAATCTAGACTCTCAGCAGCTGAAAAACGTTTTGCAGTAGTCGCATCAAGACTTAGAACAACATCCCCCTTCCCACATAATGGAAATTAGCTGTCTTGTCACCTTCAAACGATCCCTCATTAGTTACCTTCCCCTGTGATCTTTGTGTTCTACTTCCTGTGAGACTACATGTGTGTCCTCTTTTCATATGTTTGTATTTTGTAAGCGCCATGGTACCTGTGTTTAGCTCTCCTAAATATTCTATATTATTATTATAGAAACAAGTTCTTGCGTAATGTTATGAATAGGATATTGCAATGTACAATGCTGTTGAATAAATTGATAGTGCAAAGAAAGAAAAAGAACCAAAAGCAAACAAATACACAAACAAACAGAAACACACAAAGGAACTAGTGGCAAACAAATAAACAAACAGATATGAAAATAAACACACACACACCCACACACACACATTTTGCGCAGCTCGTGAAATCAAAGAGTACAATGTTACTCTATAGATGTAGACAAAATATGTAAACATACATGTAAGTAAATGCATGGCCAAAAGAAGAAGCATTTATAGCCGACTGCCCCCACGAGGTTTCAAAACGGAAGGAAGCTGAAGTCATTATGAAGAATCCATTAATATAATGCCTTTCATTCCATCCTGAATTAAATAGACTTGAGGGCTAATGTTATATTAAGAATATTCTGAAATAATAATATCCTGGATTATCATGAATCCTATGAGAAAAAAATGACATTGACAGGAAATATGGAGGCTATCCAGGAAGGATTAGGATAAGTAGGCTTGGTTTGTTTGTTTGTTTGTTGTTGTTTTTTTCTTCTTCATTTTATTGTTTCCGCTTCTTTTAATGGCTAGAGGAGAGATGAGTTTATATAGCTAGGAAGGTAAAATAATAGAAATAATAGAGGTTGCAGAGAACATCAAATACTTGTTTATAGCCCAAAATGTTATAAAGGTGGCTAATATAGAGAGAGAGGAGGGGGGAGGTGATCTGAACACGTCGATACCCAACATAAAAAGGTTGGGGGTTTGCCCCCTATAGGTAGATGTCAACTAGATCGAGATAGATGTTGTAAGCTGTTGATGCTCAGTCAATGACATCCTCTTGTGATGTTGTGTTTAGAGCTTTTGAGAAGGGTCAATGATCGCCCGTATTCGTGGTTTTAAGAGTGGTGATGAGTTATATGCCACTTCATTCTAAAGGCTTGACCGCGGCGTAGAATTCAATATACAGACCAGGAAGCATGCGTGTAAGATTACACGCCACAAGATGTGCTTGCTCGGAGGGGATTAGGGTAGATGTGAATCGAAAGGAATCCCACTTTCACTTAGTCACACTACCAAAATAACATACAAAACCATCGTGCCTATTCAACAAAACGTGTACGGAACGGTCAAAATGTCTAAGTGAATATGTGTAATTATGAAGGGACACTCCATCGATTTAGATAAGCAGCATTTAGATCATGTGAATATTTCATGTTATTTATGTTAAATTACCGAAATCTGCTTTGGAGAAAAGAAGAAAAGAAACAAAGAAACACCCATTTATATATATAACAGTTGTATTGCTTAATAAATTACGTCCTCCTCCTCCATCTACTACTACTACTACTACTACTACTACTACTACTACTACTACTACTACTATTACTGCTACTGCTACTACTACTGCTACTACTACTACTAGGCCTATTACTACTTCTACTACTTCTACTAGTACTACTACTAATACTACTACTACAACTACTACTACTACTACTACTACTATACTACTACTACTAGGCCTACTACTACTACTACTACTACTACTACTAATACTAATACGAATTCTACGACTACTATACGACTACTACTACTTTTCATAGTATGTTGAACTATGAATTGAACAAATAAATGGAATGGAATGATATGAACATTAACTGTCTGATGATGGGATTCAGATGTGATGAAAATTGTATGGTTTATTCAAGAAGAATATCCTCTTATCTGGACAGAGAATATCTGGACAGAGTATTGATCCATATTTTCCCCATACGAGTCATGAGAGAGAAAGAGAGAGGGGGAAGAGAGAGAGAGAGAGAACGGAAGAGAGAGAGAGAGAGAGAGAGAGAGAGAATTGGGAGGAGGAGAGGGGAACAATAGAGAGAGGAAGTATTATTTTAAAAAGGGGAGAAAAGAAGAAACAACCCCCCCCCCCCCTCCCACCCCCTTCCCTATTAAACCCCTCATCCTTGCATTTCGAGTTTGCCTCCTGGCACATTGCGCACTTTATCAAATGTCCTCATAAGAAACGCGCATGTAGCATTTGGTTATACATACCAACCTTATGTTTTGCTTTACTCCCATAACAAAACCTTCGTTAAAGATTGTTTATATCCCATAATCATCATCCCCTTCCATTCCCATCTTCTTTTCCCTCTCACTAACCGACAAACTTCTTCTCTCTACCTATATGCCCCTTCTCTCTCTCTCTCTCTCTCTCTCTCTCTCTTTCTCTCTCTCTCTCCAATCTTCTTTTCTCTCTAAATCACCTATCAATTTGTTCTCCCTATCTATGCTCCTTCTCTCTCCCCCCTCTCTCTCTTAATTCGTCTCTCGCATCTTCTTTTTGGTATAATTTTCCCGACATTCCTCACATGTCGGTTAATATCCCGATATCAGTTTTAATGTTGATAATTTTTATCCTGTTATGTTAAAGAAAATACAACTCTATACCTTGTCCTGAAATAGTTGGTTCTTATTTTTAAAGAGACTGATAACAGGACAATGCATGTATGATATGAAAGAAGAGCTGACTGAGTGTAATGAACTTCATCAATCTTGTGTTCCAAATACAGACGACAGCACATCGATAAAACAAAACTCAACTCAATTCGGTCGAATTAAAAACTTACGTTTGTATCGTTACGAGTTGGACGTTTTTAGCTTTGAAATGATGACAATTAAGTTGTTCATTATTAACAAATAATGTTAAAATTGGCTTACCTTGTTTCAGAATGTGAGTCTTTTCTTTTTTCGTTTGAGATGGTGTTCCTATCCACGTCCACTATTAGATCCACACAAGTTAAGCTACCAAGTCGAGCTGTGTTCACGGCTAAATGAAAGCATCAAGCTTCACTTCGACAACACGAAAATCAGATGAGTTAAATACAGATTTATTTTGCACCGCTTTCTTTATCGTCTGTAATAATAATGATAAAGTTTCTCTCTCGAAGGGGACATTGACGAAGTAAACTATAGTATCAGATGGATGAGCGTCGTCGGGACGGTATACCGCGTTCATGTATGATCACCAGTGTCTTCTTTCTCGGGAGCCTGGTCGACACAGTATGTGTTTCTCTCACGTTGTATTTACATTCCCGTCCAGATCGGAAATTGCTCCTGGTGTGTTGAGGTAAGGGAAGACGACAGCGTGCAGAAAGCTTAATGAAGCAACAGGCATCGAGATATGCATAGTACTATTACTACTACAAGCATACTGATTCGGAACAATGAGATGGTCTAAGGGAGAACTACACGTTGCCGCGTAATTACGGTAACTGCTAATTATGATTGGCTGCTAAAGTGGACTTGTGACGACCGCTTTGCGAAACGAACCAATCAGGACGCGTTTTGTATTCTTAATACGACGCAGTGGCCCGCAGCAGATGGAATAGAGCTTCTTCTACTTCTGTTGTAGCTGAAGGAGTGTTCGCATAGACAATCTTCATCAGGGTTTATCATCACGGCGTCAAACTTAAAGACGCCACAACTCGTCCCATCTCACTATAAGTCAAGCATGCCACTACGCACAACAAAAAAGGGTTGCACACCACATAAGAATTCACTGTATCACAAATCTTACATAAGTGAAGCCATATACCCTGCATGATTAAGAACCATTCAAGAAATCACTTCGATGACACCTTTCTGCCCTTTCTCTGACGGACGGGGGATAATTACGAAGCTTCTATCAGACTTGGGTATCTGTAATGAGCCCCAATTCATGTTTCCCAAAAAAGAGGGTCGAGAAAGACCAGTTCAGAATGAAGTCCATCGCTCTATTTGAATGATTATGTTTCTAGTCAAAAGAAGAAGAAAAAAAGGGAAGGGAAAGAAGAAAAGGAAGAGAAGGAAGAAGAAGAAGAATGTAATGTTTGCTCTAGCTCTATCGCTCGGAGAATAATGAAGGAATATTGAACATTTCACATTAGAGTTTTACCCTATTATCATCGATTTATTCTGCTTGTCAATTTTCATTTTCTCTTTTACATTAAAACCCTCGTCACACCAAGCACTTGTTAAAGATACCTTGTACCTTTTGCAGCCAACATCAAATTATGCAGAATTTTGCAGGACTTATAAATATGTCATGTATGTCTGTGAAATTAAAAATTAGCAGTATCCTAGTATTCAAGTTATGCTAGGAAACCCGTTTACCTTTAAGACTACCTTCTACGCTATTAAGTGACTGACTTTTTAGTGGCATCTTTTTTATTTGGTAATAACCAAGCCGTAAAGTTGTAAAGGGTACAGAGTACCCGAACATTCTTCTATATCAATAACCCACTACTTGTAATGGCCAAAATTAGAATCATTGAATATTTATGCAGCACAAAACGTACGACCATTCGGTAAAAGGGTCTGAAAATCGAACTATTACTTAGATTATTGCAATCACTTAAGTCGATTCGACAACCAATGGTCGTTATTTTCCTACTTAAAAACAATTTTCAAGCCCTTTTGTTTTGAGGGAAGTTCTAAATTAGTATTGTTCTACAAATGCCTTTGAAATTCGACCTTTTCATTTGTTTTGCCTGCAAATGGGACATAGTACCTTTAAATCAGTTTCTTTTCACCCTGTTACAGGTAAAAGATCCAAGAAATGTGAAGAATAGGATGAAACACACATTCTCAACAAAGCCAGAGGCTGTCAGAAATAAACGGAAATGTAATCATGTTACATTCGATGAAAGAGATACATGTTGGCACGACGATGAATAACACCAGGTTGACGCGGTAAACAATTTCTATATTAGAATAAGGGCGTCCTAAGGGGACAGTGTGATTTTGAAGTACGATGGCATCTCGGTTGTTTCCTGCAGGTAGGACGAAGAATTGGGGCAAATTGTACATTTAGTTTGAGGATAATGGTTCTAAGGTATAAGTATGAATGAACCTGAAACTGCCATGCACCGACACAGGCTGAATTAATTAAACATCTCCGCATTTAACCTTCCAGCCCCTTTCGAGCATTATGGAGTCCAGCATTTCATATGATCTTCCACTTTGTATATTTGGGTTCCCGGAGTCTCCTCTCGAACTGGTGCACTGACAATTCGACTCTAGACAGCATCTTGTCTATTCGGAGTGAGGCAATATTTGATACCGTCTTTTGTCGGTATGGTGGGACAGGGGTATGATATACATCAAGGGTACTTCATCAGACATCAAATCAAATGGAAGAAAATGACAGGTCTTATGGCTGCATCCCTCTCATGGAGGATGGTTCTTAAGACTTTAAAGCTGTCGCCATGGTGATATATTCGACAGAAGTGGTCAAATTAGAAGAACACAGCGACATAATATCTTGGTGGATACTTCCGGATGCAACCAAGTATTCACGTATCAGAGTATCCACAGGGTGTATATACGGGTGATAATTATGAACTACTAGAAGACAGTCTTCTACCAGTCGAATTCGAAAGTCATCAAAGAGGTATAAAGATGGTTTTTAAACAGTCCGCTGTTATAATGATAAACCATAGTCTTTGTTAAAAGTCAAGCTCAACATATTAAGAGTGTCCCATATCAACAGAGTTTACCGGAAGGTGTAAATTGACATCGTATGCTGGCGTAGTAGTCATTGTAAAGTCTTGTTTACTATTCCGGTAAACTTTTTTGATTAGCATGTTCTTTAGCAAGATTTTTCTTGCTCTCGATTTCAAGACCATCTTCCAACGTCAATGATAAACACGTAAACACACAAGCACGGTCTCTTATAAGATAGGTCAACACAATGATGGTGATTAAAACGCCACGTTTTATGGTGTCCCCTACATCATTAGTGATAACCGCAAAGGACTGTTACGACAGATTCTCTCTTTGCTACCTAATTAACCAGTTAATAGAGTAAAATTGTGTATCCGATATCTTCGAAGATTATCCTCGTCCCCCTATCGCGAGTTGGTCGTTTTTATTGGTATTTATAGTAGCCGTGTTAAACGTACGACTAGTTTTATAATTTGCTTAATACAAAGATACAGTATAGGCAACAAACGGCACACGAGACCAAACGTGCCTATATAATACATGGTCTCGTTTATTTCAAAGGTGGTCAGAAGCGCAAGATCAACATTTCGGTCTTACGGGTCGTCAGTCTTATGTATTGTCGTCTCCTCTGATGTCGGTCTCGTCCAATGTCGGTCCCATAGACCGTCAGTCTCCTGGGTTGTCGTCTCCTCTGATGTCGGTCTCGTCAAATGTCGGTCCCATAGACCGTCAGTCCCCTGGGTTGTCGTCTCCTCTAATGTCGGTCTCGTGGGCTGTCGGTCCAATAGACCGTCAGTCCACTGGGTTGTCGTCTCCTCTGATGTCGGTCTCGTCCAATGTCGGTCCCATAGACCGTCAGTCTCCTGGGTTGTCGGTCTCGTCCACTGTCGGTCCCGTGGGCTGCCGGTCCCATAGACCGGCAGTCTCCTGGCGTGTCGTCTCCTCTGATGTTGGTCTCGTCCACCATCGGTCCTGTGGGCTGCCGGTCCCATAGACCGTTAGTCTCAGGGACAGTCAGTCAAGTGGACTGTATATCTAGGCTGTTATATATTATGATAGTACGTAGGCCTTTACGATAATAGGGACTTTTAGATTCGCACGAAGACAATAGGTCTATGCTACGATCGACGTCCTTTTAAAGCACTGCCGTGAATGGAAGTACCACGTACCAGTCCACGCAAATCTAAAAGTCCCTATTACTCCAATTGAACATCCTCAAATCCTATCCCTCTCGACCCCCTTTCAGAAGAAAGGCCTCATTCCTGTCTTTCGACGATCTGTAAACTAAAACTCTGTGACCGAGTCTAATCCCCATGTTCGACAATTTGTACCCCGATTTCCACTTCCAAAAATATCTACTTTACACCTCTAAACATTCCAGGGTGCCCCGCATTGACCCCCTCAATCTCTTTTCCGTCGGAATTGAATTTTAAAGCGAAGCCCTGGAAACGTGGCATTTTACCCCATTCCACACTTTTTCCCTCCGTTTGAGAGGTGAACGTTGAAAGAAGTACGCAGGGTTTAATTGCAGACGACACGAGCGGGATAAATCGATGTCACCATTCATCTTACACACGCTGGATTTTGGCGCGCTGCGGCGTATCACAAATCGTGATCCGATTCGTCGCAGGCGACAATGGTATCGATCAGCGCTCACAAGTACCCCCCTGGAGGGGGTTTACTTCAGGGTGGTGTGATGATCATCATCAGGCCTGGCACGATATCGCATCAACATTGCAGAACAAAAATACAGAGGGGACCAGGGTTTCCTGCTTATAACCTCATTTGTTACTAGAGATTATGTGTATCATTCAAAACACAGTAACACATTGAACGTTATTTAGTCTGGAGACATGATGTTAATGTCTCTTACAAAAAAATAAATTAAAGATTAATCATAATTCATTCTAACAAATTTATCATATTTATCAGACTTGTTCAAGCAAAAAACAAAACTTGAAGCAATTAATCACTACCATATTTCCAAAAATGCAGGTTGAAGAATAGACATCTGGACATAATTATAGGACCTCTTACAAAGGTTCAAGAGCTATCAATAGTATCATAAATGTTATTGTAGATGATTTATCCGGAGAAACATTTATCGGGGTAAATCTATTGTAATTGGGTCATGCTTAATCAAGACTGGGAACTTTACGTCTACTGTAGATATCGATTAGCGTAAGATAAACAGTGCTACATGCATTGCTTCACCTAATTTGTAACATTTTCATGAATGAGGAAATTTCCAGTTTGTTTGAAAATTGTGGAGAATAGGCAATTCAGAATTATGTCTTTCGTTTATAAGGCCCAGAGTCTTTAGTTTATGTTCTTTACCAGCTCAATTCAATATTAAGATAAGTATCCATAAATCTGACATATATTCAACTGATCTGTTGAACACGCATTAAAGCTTTCGTATAAAAATGTTACTATTATGATATTTATCCCTTATATTTCATTTTGGTTCAAAATCTTCACAATTTGCAACAAGAATGTTCAGTTTAACAATACATAGAAAGTCATATTTGTACATGTATTCCTAAAAATATTTCAATCTATAGGTATTCAGAAAGAATAGTATTCTTTTACGAAATACTTTGTGTAACTATAGTCAGCATAAACTTTTTAATTTTTGTTGGTGAAATAAATCTCACTCTTAGTATGTTTATAAGGATTAAGACGTGGATGAGATGGGCGTGGTCGTTTATATGGGAAGGGGTGTAGAAGTGGATTGCAGTGGTGTGTTGGTTTCTGTGGAAAGGGATGTGACAGGGCCTATGAAGATAGAAAGATAAGTATGTGGCCATGGAGGTGGGCGTGGTCGTTTATATGGGAATAGGTGTAGGAGTGGATTGCAGTGGTGTTTTTTTCTGTGGAAAGGGATGTGACAGTGCCTACGTATATAGAAAGATA